AATAACAAAATCGACCGACTTCGAATATTAAACTAGAAGTCACGTCAAAGAGAACTTATTTAAAACCTTAACATAGCAATTACTTTCAATCATTCATGAGGTTTCTTTCTATAGAAATTGTTTTAACTTCAGTCTTCTCGATATCCATAGCTGAAATAAAAATTTATACAAAAGTAATATCTTTCATACGATTTCATCGATGAAATGGAATTTGATTAATTTTTATGATGAACTGGAATTGAAAATATATTCCAGGTATTAGTAATTTTGTCGTCAAGAATGATATATGTAATAATAAAACATTACTACTTGCATGAGAGAAAATAATAAAGTAAATGTATGATAGTAGATTTTTTAAAATAATTTAATAAATACAACTCACTCAACTGTCACTTTTTGCTTTCACTGGCTGTTTTGAATTTTTATTTTTCTTCCGTCTAGAAACAAAACTGTTTCGTTATAACGTATTTCGATTAAAAACAAGATGTGTTTGGAAACCTTAAAGCTATGTACTTAAATATAAGCCAGTCGTAATGTGATGCTTTTTACGTAGGATCGGTCACCTTTTTAAAATAAACCCTTCTAATCTGATAATGAAAAGTAAACTTTGAAAAACATTTCGTGTTTGGAACTCAAATGTTAAAACCATGGGCTTCTGAGACCAAAATACCCGTTTAAAAATATTGTTATATTAATTTTGTCAAAGATAATGATAGAGATGACGATATGTTCGAAGATATTTTGGTCTCAGAAACCAGAGTTAAACCAAAACATTACTTAAAATACCTTGTTAGTGTTATGTTTTTCTGAAAAGGCGAAGGGAATGTAAGTGATCAATTAAGTATAGGACGTTGCATGCTCCGTGGTGATTACTTAGTTGTAAGTGAAGGCGCATCAATCATGCTTAGGTACAAGTTGCGCTGCTCCAGCACGACAACACTTTCTACTAATTGCTTGTTTACATTTCTTACAAGACCGCTTACCTTCATGAAATTTTAATAGCAAATGTATGGCTTAGTTTGAGCAGGTTTTAATGAGTTCAATTTGAGAATAACAATATCCATCCAACATTATGCTGCATACAATTTGTTTAATTTGCTTTAATTAATTCAAATTTATTATGACTATTTATTCAATTTATCTAAGTATGTACATTTATCTATGTAAGTTAACAAAGTATGTTTATCTTTAAACTTTTTAACCTATTGGTAACCTATTGTTGTTTAAAATATTTGTAAAGCAAATTTCACATTGCAAACTCCAAGTTTAGTGGAAAAGAAAAGTATTGTACGAATTCGTGAATATAAAATTCCTTTGACTTTTCAGGAATTCAATTTATAAGCATATTGAAGCAGAAGTGGGTTTACGTCTATGAGTTTGTACAAACGCAGTTTTAGTATTCAATTTTTGTTAAATAATGTTTTCCAAAGCAATTGTCATATATACATACTTGTGAGTGAATTAGGTATAAAAATAAAATGCTATAATTTACAAAACACATTTATTTTATTATATTATTAATTATTCATAGATTTACTTTATAAGTTTTAATTCTAAGAATAGATAGTCTTTATATTATGTTGTTACAGATGACTTTACATTAAAGGAATATTCAAAAAGGTTTTTTCATTAATTTCTGCCAAAAAAAATTGTAAGTATTAGTCTAAAATAATTTTAAAACGTTTAAAATTCATATATTGAATATTACTTTATTAATCATTCGTTTTAAATTTTTTATACATTAATTATATAATTTTAAAATACAGTTACTTATTAATTATACCAACACATAATAGTAAGTTATTGTGCATTTGAATTATAATTTCTCAATAAATTATAGTAATTTTTAAAAATAAATCAATTTTAGGTAAAAAATGTAAAAGAAATATTTTATCTAAATATTTGACTAAAATATATATGACTAAAATTATTAATGTTTTTTGACTTTAATGTTTTTTGACTTTATTGACATTAATGACTAAAATTATTAATGTAAATAATAATAATAATTAATACAATCATTCAGCTATAGACATTATAGTTAATTCTGAACTACTAAAGATATTTTTTTCAAGTTACATAAAAGATAGTGCTTTTACATTTTACAATTTCTTTGTTTAAAATTATTCCGTATTAAATTCCGTACGTCGATAACACAATGCTTGTAACATCTTTAGGAAAGATGGCGAGAAATCGAAAGAGCGATTTACATAACATTAACGCCACTAGCGTATAGAAAAGAAAAGAAGAGGAAGTTAAAAAAACACAGTGAAATCGCCGATGTTTGACCTTAACCTTATGGGTAATATAAACTCCGATATGTTTCTATACAAATTACTAATTAAACATTTAAATTTAAAAATATAAATTTAAAAATAGAATAGCGTAAATTCTATTTATGGTCGTAATATTTTTTTTATAAAGTTTCGTTACAAGAAAAAAAATTGGTAGATACTTCTACGTAGCTTTGCTTCGTCATACTACAAGATTATCTATGATCCCATATCCAGTTGGTTATCATACAATTGTACTTAAGTAGCACTAAGGGCCACTTAATGCACTCTTAAGTTACGTTCTACTTATCGAATGGTTTACTTATTTTATATTATTAAATTATTCAATTCTATTCGCATTGCGGTAAATGTCTTAAAAATAATTAAAGCAGCACCTTGTTGTGAAAGAATAAACTCCCTCCCGGCTTTGGTACAGTTACAAATATATATATATAGAGTTAAAAGTTTCATTTTTAAAAATATACGTAGAAAAGCTTCTGTGCAAAATTGGTCTATTTTGGGACGTCGCCATATGTAAGGACGTAAGAGAAAACCCTTCAAATATTAATCAGTTAGATATATAAATTACTTATGATGTCATGAAGTTTGAAGGAGACAGAATTTTTTATGACGTTTCTGACAAAAAGCAATACTGTGCCCTAAAATTACCAAAACAAGACTTATATAAAAACCAAAAATTTTTTAGCGAACTTGTCAATTTCTTTCAATTGATGGACTAGAAAATAATAATTAAATAGCATAAAGCATATATTATTATAAATGGAGCAATCAAACTACGCAATATATTAAATATTTAGATTTTGATAAATATATGTTTTTAGCCTATCTCATTACAATATAAACTATGTATTTACACTAATGACTAACTCTAAGACTAAAAATCCTTCTTAGTCTTTCTAAAAACCTTCCTCATGAATCTATAAGCACACGAAAATACAAGCATAGTCGGCAAGAACTTTTCTCCTCTACAAAAATATCTTGTGCTCCACAAAATTCCTATTAAAGCCATTTCCATGCAGTTTTACGTAGACTTATTCCACATCAGTGCTAATCCGTATTACCTATAAGATATGTTTTATACCTACAGCATTCAACTCACGATTACATTACAACTCAATTTTAAAACTTTTTTAACAGAATACAACTTAATTTTGAATTAGTGACACAATATTTTTATAAATATATTGAGTTATTACTTTTAAATCTAAATTCAGATGAATATATAGTTACCTATATTCTAGATATGTTAGACATTTTTAATATATATAATTTCAATATTTTATACTGTTTCTAAACTACTCATACGACTTAAAGTCAAACTAAAAAATATTCGTTGTTTGGTATAATTTTTATTAAAATGGATTCTTCAACATTGTTCATGGTCGATATATATTTACCTCTATATCTACATTATCTACTAGTTTTAGCATTTAATACGCACATATTAAAATAATTTATTAATAAATAAAGAGAACACGAAAATTGAGCACGGCACTCGTTCGCAAGCATAAAAACAAAAAAATCAATAACAGCTGCACTTCGAGACACGCAGAAATCAAAAGTAGTATATTTTGTCCGTCGCTTCGAAATGCACGTGCTTCTTCCCGTGCGGCGGCAGAACGACCAACAACCATCAGGCCGGGCTGCCGCGCCTGCCGTTCTTGCCCTCCACACTCCCTTTGTCACTCACTTTAATTGGACTTTTCACTTCCTCGTCACTTCTATCACCGGGTTCTTTTATCTCTGGTATGTTAGGTTTGTGCAGTTCTGCAGCAGAGGGTGGGTGCGAGGGCTGTGTGAGGACCTCCTGCACGTGCACGGTGAGGTCGGAGCGCACGAGGTGTGTGAAGGGCAACAGCGCGCCCGCCACGTCCATCGTGTTGTTGATGTTCCTGTGCCACAGCTCGAGCACCACGCTGCGCCTCTGCTACTTGTACCGCGCCGGACCCAGCCAGCCGCAACCGAACACCTACGTATGTACACATAAGTAATTAGCTGCCAACTTACTGCCACAGTCACGAGTCGATAATATATCACTTGTACTGTTTCGTGCATACATTAAATGTCTGGGCTAGTCTTGCCTTAAACTTAATTAATTTGTGGCCAAGAAAAAATTGAATTAACCAAATCTACTCGAATTATGCTGATATTGTGATGCAAGATTATTTTTGTTAAATCTTAGTAAAAAAAAATTCTGGTTAAATTTTCAAGTCAGAAACATGAGTAAAACTTACCTGGCATATGACAAGTGCCAACAACAACAAGAAAATCAACAAAATGATTCCCCAGACGACGGCGAGTTGCGTGATAGCGAACACATAGAGTGTGCGATGGCACCACTGATTGGGCTCGAACAGTGTGGGCGCGTAGTCCGGCCACAGAATGCCCAGCGTCCAGTAGTTTCCGAACGCGAACCTTGTATACATATGTACAGAGGTCATTACTCATATCATAGGCAATACTGACATTCTACATACTTATACATGAATAAGAATATAGAAGTGAACGTTCTAGCGTATCTACTCCTTTCTATATGATAACTGGGTAAACTCTGGGAGAGTGGGCCCTTAATGTAAATAAGAAAAGAAACTACAGATACCTTGCTGGCTCTTAAGGAAAAGCTGAAATTGAGCTTAATACGATTGAATCAAAGTTACTTTCTTATTAAGAGAAAGCGTAAAAAGACGTGACTAGTAAAATTAAACCTTACCTCAAACGAAAAAAGCTCAATTATATTTGAGTTAAAAATATCAGCATTTTGTCACTTACCATCCCATCAGAAAGACAGTGAGGGTGTAAGCCAGGACTCTTTCAGGCACGCTTGCTGGGGAATTAGAGGTCCTGCTGACGAGTTGCGCCCACAGCAGCCAGCAGATGCCGGCGCCGCCAGCCGCGCCCCCCACTATCATGTACACCGGGATGCGCGGCTCCGCGGGGCAGTCGCGAATGTACTGCACACCTGGTAGAAACTCAGGCAATACAAAACCAAGAAAAGGCGAATAATCGACTGTATGATATGTATAATAGTAGTTCGCCTAAATTAAGCTTTACCTCTACTGCATTTTCGTTATACTTCAAAAAGTATAATACTAATCAAACAAAAAATCTTGATATGCAAATGTAACAGCATGAAAGGAAAGGTTAACATTTTGTACCTTTTTTAATAATGCTTGTATTGGCGCAGGTCCAAATCATTACAGCTAGCTGCCCAACTTATTTATATACAAATGAAAAACAATTTCACTTCCATTAAGATAAGAGATGATTTTACAAAAGTTATTATTGGATAATAATAGAATACGGTACTGTTCCTTATTGTAAACTGATGTAACTGATTCCGTAAAAGATATAATAACAAACATGCATTTAACAAACAAAATTACTGCATACTAATATATTAAGTTAAAGCGCTATCTTTTGAATATATGTATGTATATCGTTTAGTACAGATGTCATCTGTTATGGCACCACTAATGGGAATTAGTTGTGTCTGTAGGAGAATGTCGAAGTTTTGAATATGCAAAATTTCACAAACAAAATCTTAAAAATTAAATTATTTAATACATTTTATGAATCCTCTTACCCATTATTAGCATTATAACTGGCAACGCAGAAAGGATGGCCAGAAATACTGTCATCAGAACTGCAACAAAAACACCTTTACTAAAACAAGAACTACTATTTAGAAATATATGGAAATTCAGAAAACTCACTGGTTCTGTTCATAATTTTAGCAGCTCTGCAAACGAAATCGACAGTACTGGAGGCTTCCATGTTTGCATCTTTTAGTTGGTACGCAACTGAACCGTAAGTTGTGAGGCCAACACCCAAACCCATGCCACTTCTCTCGCTATATTTTGCTTGTTCACCACAAAGCCGCCTCTGTTCATCGCCTGATACCTAAAATAACATTCATACATTAAGCATAAGATTCACAGTACATGAATGATTAAAATCTAGAACATTAAAACTTACTTGGCTGACTGAACTTGAAGCTCTTCTAGATCCAGTGTCAGAGAGAGCACCGGTTCCACTGTGTCGGCCGCTCAGAGACGCTCTGTACGGCGATACACTGCGGCCTCTTGTTGCTAAAAAATAATAATATATGTCTGATATTCAAGAATAACATGCCGAGTTTCTAAACTTAGTATATTCTAAAATAAGTTACCTGCACATTGACTCTCTTCGCTCGCTCTTCTTTCCTTTGATACCAATGGTTCTTGAAATGTTAATGTGAGACTACCTCTGGGGCTGACTTTAGCGGCGTCCAATTCTCCCGCCACTAAACTTCCTCTGGCACTCCTCTCAGAGGGCGCGATGCTTCCACGAGGGCTTCTCTGACATTCCGGTATCAAAGAACCGCGAGGAGTTCTAACAAAGTCAGTACACTCATTACTTTTAAAAGCTGTATCTTGTCCAATACTACCTCTGGGGCTTGTTCGTGGACTTGGACCCAATTCTTTCTGGCTACGAGCTGGATCTATCTGTATACATGCAACCGAATGTCTTGGACTTCTTCCCACGTCGGGAACGAGGGAATTCCTTGGTTGGTTCCATGAGGTGCCGTCTGGTACTAAACTACGTCGAGGGCTCCGCGCGGTTACATCTGGAGTTATACTGTTCCTTGGACTTCTGTTAAAGTCTTGCGGATTGAGACTTAATCTGGACCCGTACGCTAATTCAACTCCTAAGTTGTTTCTAGTAGGTGCTAGAGTGTTTCTGATTTGTGATGCCGTGTCCGGGACGATAGAATTTCTGGCAGATCTTGTCTCCGGTACGAGAGAGTTTCTCGGGCTTCGATGGTACATGTCTAAGGCGGCGTCAGGCGCTAGGCTGGCTCTGGGGCTTCTTTGTGGGATTGGTTCTGTTTCATCATCAGTTTCAGTGGTAGCCAGTGAGGCTCGTCGGGAGGGCTGCGCGGAGGGTCGCGGCGAGCGCGTCTGCGGGGATGTGGCTGCGCTTCTTGACGCTCTCCGCCGCCGAGATGACGATGTCCGGTGCAGCATCATCACGTTTTCATTACCTCATATAATTAATTACAGGTCAACTTTCCGTATAACTTGAATCATCTGTAACAAACAAAACATGGTAAGTAAAATGTCCAATACGTAAATACACCTTAGTATCAAATTGGATTACTAACACAAATATTATAATATAAAAAATTATTTTAATAACTTCACATTAATAAATTCGTACATAAACATAAAATGACTTGTTGATTGCCCATACACATTATCCGCAATTAATCTAAACATTTTTTGTTTTGTCGTCGTGAAAGTGATGACGCGGCGCGGCGCGGCGCGGCGTCTGACGGAATGTTTTTGGCGGCTCCGTGCAATCACGAAATAACATTCAGAACATAATCCGCCTCCCCCTGTTCCCCGCTACCCGCACCCCTGCCCCAGTCGCAAATTATATTGCTCTCGAATCTGTTACGTTTTGTGTACAAGATAATTATGTCAGGCTTAACATTGTATTACTTGAATTTTGATTTAAGATATCTACTACGTAAATATTTAATTATTTTTCGGTACTTTTCAAATTATGTAATCCCAAATGTTGTTTGAATTAGAATTTGTTTCCATGATATTTCTTGCAAATTACTTCTCGACATTGTAGTAAGTTCCAACTACTGAATCGTACCTATTATCTTTTTTAAATTGGTAGTGCGAGTATACGCAGCATTTCGATAGTTTAATTCGAAGGTCAGAGCGATCACGCGACTATCAACAAAGTTGTATCGCCGACCTACTGCCAAAAACACGCTTTGCGTTTTCTAAATTACTCCTTTGATAAAATCCCTACAAAGTGAAAGCTCGTGGTAAAAATCTACGTTTGATTGTGTAACAATACATAGCTCCATGTCACGTTATAAATGATGAGGAGTAAAACATAATTAAATTTACAATTTTTAAGGATAATATCATAAGGCAGTAGCACACAGTCGCGAAAGCGAACCGAAATCAAAGCTATATAATTTATTAGCAAATAATATTTTTCGGCTTAGTCCAATTTAATCTTTCAGTTTTCTTTGACTAAATTCGCCATATGTTAGCTTTTAAGATCCAATGTTTTGTTTTTTTTTATTTTTCAATTATGTCATTAACTTTTTAGTCATGGCTACATTCTATTAGAAGTTTCAGGTTACTATGAAATGTTATATAGTATATAGAAGTGCATTCTATATGCAATTGCAATAAATGAGTATATGTATCCCTTTATATGTGTATGTATATCTTTCCGATGCTGAAAGCGTTTGATTGCCGCTTTGTTAACTGGGTCAGAACTATAAAATGAGCTGCTATATAAATAATAAAAATTATATTAGCTTTCGAGAAAATGAACGTTTTAATTATTAGTTACGGTATGTTTAAACAATAAAGTTTATGAGATCTTCACGACTTGCATAATATCTTCCTTAATATTCCATTATTATTGTAAACCAGTGTTACATCGTTTCAAATGTTATTTCGCTTCATTCTCTTACCGGCACGACCTTAACCTCTATAAGAAAATAACAATTTTACCAAAACCGGCCACCGGAATCAACTGGGAAGGCTTAACATCGCCTTGTCCTCAATATAAAAAACGAGCTTAAAATACAGACGGTGAAAAAGAATTTTCTCTTTACATGCAAAAATGAACTTAATATAGATAGCACTTAAGTTCAAACTTGTATAAACTCTCCTAGATATCCTGTGTATATTCCATATGTCTGTTGGTATAAACGAAAGGTTATGTCGAGCATTTTCTTTGACAAAATCCATTATCGAGAAGATCGTTAATACATAACGACGTCGCTCACTACAAAAACAACCAGAGTGTTTTGTTTTCCTTCACAATTCGGAACAACGGTGCGGTTCTTTTGATAGGTTTTCGCCACAAACGGAACTAAACTCTTTTATGTTACTACAAACGAGCATCGGTACGTTTTATGTTAGTGATCGGCAACGAACTTTGACTATAAATATGCCTAAAAACTGAAAATTGACACAGAAATTTACACACCTATACAAAATGAGCACACAAGCAAGCGAGTTGGGAACGAAATACATGCGCTTGACAGATCCTGTCTCTTAAAAATCAAAGTCGACGAGCAACACCAGAGAAACTATAGAAACTTGGCCAGCCTCAATTAATTACAATTTTTTCCAAATTAAAATTATTATATAGATTAAAATGATTCAATTCAATTGTCCATCAACCGTCGAAGCCGTCAGGGAGGATATCGCCGTTCATTTTGAACGTCTGATTTAATTATTAACGCCTTTGAAATTGAAATTGATTGAGGGCAGACATGTTGACCGCGGGCTGTACTACTACATGAAGTTAGACCCGAGCAGAATTAACTATCACATGAAATTATACGCGAGTGGTCGCTTTGGGAATCAAAAGGGACTACTAACGCCATCTAGTCACAGTTGATATAAATATCTAATGATTTGATTAACCAACAGTTTTCATACCAAAAGGTTTCTGTTCTGTTTTTGCTCGTGTTTTGTTTAATATGTTTAAACAAAACAAACAACGACAAAAGTATACGTGACAAATTCCAGGTAGAGCGTGGGACGGTTCGTTGAAAAATGTTGCATTTATATTTTAATATCATATTACTAATGGATGTGAACAAATGCTATATTTAGAAGCTTCTTGTAGATTTAAAAATAAAGATCTGTTGACTTTTATACATTTTAATCCAATTTAATTTATTTAGAATTATACTCTTCGGTCAGAGAAGCTGTAAATATTTTTGTACTCCCCTGATACTACATCGTTGTATAAAAAAAGCTTTAAAATGTGTCTTAAATACTTAATATAAATATTTACATTTAAAATTATTTAAAATTGAGTCTGAATCATAACAATTACATGGCTTAATTAATTTGTTATCTAATCTGCTATAAATAAATTAGGAACACGATATGTTTACAGTTTTTATTTTAATAAACTTATAATAGTATAACAATAATAAGATAAAATAAGGAAATTTAGGCCCAATAGTTATTTAAAAATGGATAACAAATCAAGAACTTTATGAACTTAATTTTTAGGTTATCATTTTTTCTCAAAGAACTCAGATAAAATATTAAACCCAAATAAATACAAACACATCCGTTAGGCCAAAACAAATATAACTCAGGCTTTACTATGCAATAATCAAGACCATATCTTAATAGTCCAATCTGTGTAAAAGGCAGCGCAAAGTCTCCTAGGAAATTGTTACGATGGAAGCACCCGCCACACCGTGGACATAAAATATTGTACTAAAAGTGTATTTATAAACATGAATATTAAATGAATATGTAAAATAATCTTGAGGATTTTCATATTCAAAATAAATTCAAAGCGAAACAATCTGTGCTATAATTTAACTTAAGTTTTTTTAAAATATGTATTCTCATTATTCAAACTTTCGTGAGACATTATACTACCTACTACTACTACTACCGTAGTAGGTAGTCAAAACTAGTCGGTGCCGCCACCGGACGAATATACGTGAGTGTTTAGCCGTGTTTATATATCAGTTATGTATTCTCAGTTAAACACAAAAAGATGTTATGTCTCTAACTTATATAGTTGCTCTGTTATTAGTAAACTTTGTAAAGTTCAAAACTAGTTAAGGCAAAAAATGTTAACCAGTCAGATAAAATATTAAAATCCACACAACATTTACAGATTACGATATAAAAACTTTTTAATCCACTTTATTACCTATTTTATTAATTATCTTCGCCAAAAAGTTACATTTGTGAATGTATCTTTATAGATCTAGAATAATAATCATTTCAAAAACACGTGCAATTTAGTTATACTACAATATTAAATCAAATAACAGACATATTTAAAAAAATTAAATGCAAATGTAATAACAATAAAAATATAACTTAATACTCCAGTACTAATTTCAGGCACATTTGATTTTCCTTTACCAGAAACTGAATAAGGTATATACATATGTAGTAAATATTCTGCCCCATCATACTGCGCTGTAAATTCGTTCCCTGATGGCCGAATTAGGCAGAGAGAGCGGTTTATTAAACGAAATTACATTTTGTAGAATTTATTAATTTACTAATCTTTTCAAAAGGGACTCAATCATGATAATAATTGCAGTCATTGATTTCGCTAAAAGAGCGAAGTGACCTCTTACCAAAGACATCTGTATCACGTTAAAAGGTTGCAGTTTCGCTGATTATCTTTTCTTTTTGGAGAAGAGTGGGAAGTGGAAAGAATTAAAAAACTGATCTCCGGCACACGCACTTATCAGTTAAACGCAGAATGACTTTGACTTGATGCGTGTCTGTTGTGTGGTTAGAGTATTAATTACATCAGTGGAGGCAGCCATTCCTGATATGGGTTAAAGCTGTTGCGGACTCTACCATTGGTGGATATAGTCCTAAAGATACGATAAGAGATAGTGTCAATTTGAACATAGTATATTTTGCAATAAATGTATTCATATATAAGGAAAGGAATATATGTGTCTAAGCGACTGTACAAACTTACTTTTTTAGTAACTATTTATAAGCATAGTACTTCTATTGAACATTTATTTTAGAATACAAACAACTCTGAGGTTCGAATCCAGGACAAACGGAGCTATTGTTTACGTATGAACTTTGCTTAGGTGTATCTTATTCTTAAGAATTATTTTTAACTAAACTTAAAAAAAATACTTATCAGTTTTATTTAAAAATTAAGTATTTTTGAAGTTGTATTTTATTCCTTTGAAATTAAAGCATAACATATGTATTTATACTTACCAAAAATTATTCACTCCGTAAATAATTAATCAATAGCGTCACATAATCGTCCTACTAATTAAAGTTATTTCGATTTATGAACAACTGTTTTGTAAAAAAGTGTTTATTTATACGATTTTAAAAACCCTTTGAAGACAACGAACTCATTTAGATTAAGTTCAAATTCGTAGTATTTTAGTTTCGTTGAAATCGGCACTTTGTAAAAATATTTACGAAGCTCCAACTTGCGTAGACATCCGCTACGGTCGCGGCGCGCTTTCTTACTGACACGTAGCGCTTGCTACGGACGGCAATGAACGTATCTATATATACACGTTATCAACGCATTTATTAAATACTACAAAATAGTCTAAGCTACTATTAAATACCTTAATAATTACGTACAGAAATAGTTACATTAATTTTAATGGGATTTTCTAAAGCTACGACGGAATAAAAAATTATATTTAGAGTCTCAGTCCTAGAT